CACATGACTACGTACATTGTCTTCCTCATGGTCAAATTGGTTTACAGACTGACTTTCACCACATTTGGTAGGTCAGCATTAAGTTTACAGTAAAATTTGGGGTTTGATTCTCTGTGGTGGACAGACTGTAGCTGTACTCTAAGAAAACAACAATGACATCACGACATTGTGTTCATTGGTTTCGTGAATGCAGTCATCTGAACAGTGAACGTGTATTTTGTTTCAAGCGAAGTGGACTGATTGTCTGTTATGTGATGTAACTTTATTAATGCTCTCCAGTCACTGTTAGATTATTAGTTAGTTTTTTGTCTATAAAAACCTAAACTGTAAAAATCTTAGCTACCTGCCAAAGGGTTAAAGAGATTATATCATTTTTGGTTTTAATCGAATAAAATGAAGATTGTGTATTTAATTATTTAAAATAATTTAAAGATGTTGTGTGAAGTTCCATAAAAGTGTATCTCTGTAATGAGTTATTATGACGTAACCAGTTCAAGCATAAATAAGTAGCTATAATTTCCATTTTTTCAACATTTTGAACATAGGAGTATTAGATCAATATTTTCAGATCATTAGCTTATATATATATATGAAATTAATCAGTAGCTTATTAGTGAAATAGTTATGAAGTTCACTACCACATTGAATGCACTTGTACTGTCTATCAGAAGTTCTTTAATCATTAGAATAAATTACATTTTACAAATAGCTAACAAAACTCACAAACACTTACAGCACCCTATAATTTCTCAGCCTATACATCTGACCTCTATCTACTGGGTGACTCAAAAATTAGTTGCTTCATTTCTAAATCTCCTTTTTATGAATAAATGTGATTTGAAACACACTGGTCTTTTGACACTTGGTAAGCCGTACTTGCATGATGTTCTCAAACATTGTTATGAAACAGGTGGAAATTAAAGATAATTAGTACACTGCTCTGTGGCAACTAACATTTGCACCATCCTGTATGTTGTGGTTAAAATTTATATAAATCTTTCATTGATCTATGATAACTTTCTTTATGGGCTATATATTACTTCATTTAATACTTTGTTCATCATTGATTAGTTGTACCAGTTTTGATTAGCAAAGTAAGCCCCTATGTATTAGGTAAAGTATTTATCTACAGTATTTCTGGTGTTTTTCTTTTATGTTTCTAGTATTTGTTAACACTTCTATTTTTGAAGATGTTCCTATGGGCTGTACCATAATAAAGTGGTTAAAAATAACAGTGGGATGTCATTTACTGTTAATACTAGATTGAAGAATGTTAAATTGAAGGTAAGCATAAAATATGCAAATTTACACACTTATATGTTCATGTCCTAGGTGTTTGATTATTATGCCTTACATGTGAATTTTTGACACAAAATATTTCGTTATTAATAAACATCCTGAACACTTCAATCTCTTCAGTCATCCAACTCTTGAAAACCAATATTCCTTCAGCTACCAATATTCCTACATCATTCACTAACATCCTGAACACCCACATTCCTTCAGTTATTCATCATCATCCTCAACACCAATATTCCCTCAATCCTACTCCTGAAAGTCTATATTCCTTCAGTTTTTACTCCTGAACACCAATACTCCTTCCATGGTGGGCATCTGCAGGAAGGTGCATTTGCCCCCCTCTTACATTTCACAAAAAATTGCAGGTATTATGATGCAAACTTAACATTGTAGTTAAAGTAAATATTTTTAGTAATTTTTATTAAACTGTAAATTTTTGTTTGTGTTTAAGCACACATAACACATATTCTTTTAGTCTCTTGACTTACACTGTAATATTTCTGTACAAGGAGGGATTGAAACACTGGGTAACCAGACAATTGCTCGGTGGGCCGTTGGATTTGACGCATTTTTCGAAACTATTTTTAAATTTTAATTGTTTAACCAGCATGCAGCATGTAATACTGCCTGGTCTGATCCTTTAATGTCAATCCGCCCCAGTTTCTGTGGGCGTCCATGACTCCGTCATTCATTCATTGACATCCTGAACACCCACATCCCTTCAGTTATTCATCAGTATCTGTAACATCTATATTCCTTCAGTCCTACTCCTGAACACCAATACTCCTTCAGCTTTTCATCAGCACCTCTAACACCTATTTTTCTTCCAAATAGATTTTATGCATACACTTATAGATATGGTATTCTGTAACTATGCATGGACAAACACACAATGCTAATATGATATATTTTACAACGATGGTTGGTTTGATTTTTTTTTGACAAACTATGCTATAATTGAATTATTTTCTAAATGACAATTCAAAGATGATCATGTTACGTGTTCATTAACTATATTCAAAGAAAGCTATGTTTTTTGGTGACTTAAACTAGCAAAAGATGGAGCTGTAGAGCAGAGTAGAAGCATTGTTCTCATACTATCAGTAAAACACAAAACCTGTTTCTATGCGCAGTATTACAATGAGTTTGATAAATCACGTGAAAAATGGATGTAGTTTATGTTGAAATGTATGCAATAGAACAAACAAACTGTATTCAACAAATACCATTTGTATCAATTGTAAAAAAACTTTAATTATGTTAGATACATCTAGTAAGAGTAAGCAGGAAATAAGTTTCACTTTACATTAAATTCTTAACTTTTAATTATCTAAATTTTAATTCCATGAAACATTAACATGTCTCTGTTGCAAATTCCAAGTTAACCCCAAATTCTTGAAATTCAAGAAGCTTTATAGTATAAAAGCTGAGGTACCCGTGTGTTGTCCGAGTTATGAACATAAAAAATGTGGGGGTGAATGCTATGATAAATAACACAAAAATCCTAACTTTAACACAATTTATTTAAAACATATTATTACAGTATTCATTATTAGCTCACCTAAAATTTTGTCTAAGCAGTAATGTAACTAATTCTTTTTTATTTTATTTCTTGTTTCAAAGCTTCTTAGAAAAATGCCCTCCAGTGGTATGTCTGCGGACTTGCAACGCTAGAAACCGGGCTTCGATATCCGTGGTGGGCAGAGCACAGATAACCCATTGTGTAGCTTCTTACCTAGTTTCAAACACATCTTTGAAGGAAATGACATTGTATTTTCAGATTTGTTTTAAAGGTTTAAAACCATCTATTTAAAG